AATTTGAGGTCAATCAGACGTAATTTGATAGGTTTCGGCATCGAATGTAGAAGTTTGAAGTTCTAAAGTTCATTAAGTTTGAATTGGGGTGTGATTCATGATTTCGATGTTTTTTGATGTGATTTGAGGCCTCGAGCAGGTCCGTATTATGTTGTGAGACTGGTTTGTGCGATTGGACGGGGTCCCGGGGGCCTCGGGTGTGTTTCGGGGTGGTTTCGGACCAAATTAGAGCTGTTTTGGACTGCTATTGCTGGTGTCTGGTTTCCTTCTTCGCGAATGCAAAGGAAGTCCCCCGTTCGCGAAGAGGAATTTGTGGGGCTGCTGGGTTGGCCTTCGCGAACGCGAGCCAGTGGACGCGAACGCGAGGCAAGAGCTGGACAAGCCTTCGCGAACGCGGCCAGGCAACGCGAAGAAGAAATAGGGGAGCTGGGCCTAAGGCCATTTGGCCTACGTGAACGCGTAGAAGGGAACGCGAACGCGAAGGGGCGGGTCAGCTGGCCTTCGTGAACCCGATCAGAGGGTCGCGAACACGAAGAAGAAGGGTGTGTACTAGGAAGAATGTTTTAAAAGTGAGGTTTGAGTTCATTTCACCTATTTTTCACACGGCTTGGGCGATTTTTGGAGCTTTTGAAGAGGGGATTTTATCATCAAGCATAAGGTAAGTGATTTCTACTAGTTGTGAGTTACATACAAGGTTTATACATGGGTCTAGGTATGGTTGTCCAACGGGACGGGCCGTCCCGTCCCGTCCCGTCCCGCGTCCTGTCCCGGTCTCGTCCCGTCCCGTCCCGTCCCGCTTCAAGTTAAATGGGATGGGCCAATGTTAAACGGGACACGGGACGGGACGGGACGGCCATTTCGTCCGGTTTGTACCGTCCCGTCCCGCGTCCCGTCCCGTGTCCCGCCAGAAATTAATTTTTCTTTTTTAAAAAAAACTAGCCGTTGGCCAACGGCTTAAATGGCAAAAATAGCCATTGCCAACGGTCCATACAGCCCCTACACCCCCCAAAACACCCCCCCCCCCCCAAACTTTTAATATAACCCCTAATTTTATTAAATTACACTTTGGCCCTATTTTCTACTATAAATACCCCCCATTCTTCTTCATTTTTTCCCACAAAAAATCAATTTTCTCTCTCAAATCTCTTACATTCTAATATCCTATCTATATTCTATATTATTCTCTCAATTTTGTTACTATCAAGTATCAAGTGCTATGTTTCAAGTTTCAAGTTTCAAGTTTCAACTTTCAAGTATTTGGGCAAATTTTTTGGAGCAACTTTCAAGCTTCAAATTAATTCGTCAAGTATTTGGAGCAATATTTGGGCAATTTCTTCAAGTTCCCCAAACTTTAATCACGGTGCACTCATTCCATCTCCTAATTTTAATATATAATTTTTGCGTATCATTTTAGTGCTTAATTGTTGTGTTTACTTTACATGTTATATTTTCGTATTTCATTTGTGTGTTTAATTTTTGTGTTAGTTTTTTTAATATAATTTCGTATTTAAATTATGGCACCTAAAAATGTATTTGGCATTTTTTAAAAAAGTAGTAAAAAAACTAGTAAAGGTGAAAGTAGTAGTAATCCTAATCATAACCCTTCTCCTAGACCTAGAATTAGAAAAGATATTGATGAAATGACTCGTGTTGATGAAACTTCATTTTTCCAACCCCCAAACAGAACCCTTCCTAGAAGGTGGCCGCGTAGATTAGGTGCTCTTCAAAAGAATTATATTTGTATTTGAGATTTGAAAGTTCTATTAATAAAATAAAAGGCTCTAAGCGTTGAATTATTTTTATGAATTGTCTTAGTTACTTAATAGTTAATACTTTAAAATTATATTAAATAAATTATAACTCTATTATAAATTTATATTTACTAGAATATTTCATTACAAGTCTTTTTTTTAATATTTTAAAATTCTTTACTTAGTTTTCTAATTTTCGTTTTAACATAGTAACATTTAAGTTTATTAAATAAGTCAAAAATCTAGTCATTGCAAACTTTAAAAACATAGTAACTTTCAAAAAACTAGACATTTTTTTATTAAAAAAAATACACTTAAGGCCCACGAACCCGTCCCGTCCCGTCCCGTCCCATCCCGTTTGTTAGTGGGGCGGGATGGGACGACCGTTTCGTCCCGTTTGTCCCGTCCCGTTAATTTCGTCCCGTCCCGTTGGAAAGCCATAGGTCTAGGCATGAAATATTGTAGAAATTTGGGATTTTGAAGAAAAACCTAGAAATTTATATTTTTGGATTTTGATCACGAAATTGGACATGGAATTTGGAATAAATTATATATTTGAGTTCGTGGTGTTATGGGTAAAGTTTATCTTCAAAAAAATTCAGAATCCGAGCATGTGGGCCCGAGGATGATTTTATCGACTTTTCGAGCGGAGTTGGAAATTGTTGTAAATATGATTATAATGAGTATTAGAGTATATATTTATGGATTTACTCATTTATTGACTAGTTTTGGGAGCGTTGGGCATCAGTTTGAGTTGTTGGAAAGGCTTGAAAGCCGGTTATGGAACTCCGAAGTGAGGTAAGTCTCTTTTCTAACCTTGTAAGAGGGAATTAACCCCATAGGTGAACTAAATTAATATGTGCTTCTATTTGTGGGGGCTTACGTACGCACAAAGTGACGAGTCTGTACGTAGCTACTAGTTATGCTTATGTCCGTGTAGTTTTAGGTTTTTACCATGCCTTGTTGATATTGTTATTTGGTTATGCTTATTATTTGCCTTGAAAAGAGTTGAGATTGAGTGTGTTTATTAAATTGCCTTGGAAGGAGTAAGAATTGAGGAATTTGAGATTTCAAAAGCTTTCATTTGGATTTCGTATTTTTGAAAAGAATTGAGAAATATTATAATAACTTGAGAAAATCTATGTTCAACCGCGTCGCAACTATATTCCGCGAGCGAGGTAAATTTTCACTACTCTCAAGGGAGCGGGCTGTTCGCCTTGGCAGAAAAAATAGATGCATCTATGGTTCGTGTCGTTCGACCCTCGGCAGTGCACAATTTACATTTATATGTTGGTTTGTGTCGTTCGACCCTCGACAGTACACAGTTTATATTTATATGTTGGATCGGGCCATACGACCTCGGCATGACTTGCGCATGATAACTCTTTGGAACTAATAAAAATTGGCCTTGCCTTATTGGCTTGAGATATAAATTCTTCAATGATGAAAATAAAATTTGGGAATTTCTATCAGTAAAAAGAATTGTCGAGTACTTCCGGTTATTGAATTTTGAGCTAAGTTATTATTCCATGCTTAAATATAATATTGGCATTTTATTTTTAGACTATAGTAAGTGTCGGAGTCAATCCCTCGTCACTACTTCTTCGATGTTAGATACTTACTAGGTACGCGTTGATTTACGTACTCATACTACACTTGCTACATATTTTTGTGCAGGTGCATATATGTCTAGTGGCCCTGTGAGAGCAGAGGCGTGGTTATTTGCGGGGACTTAGGTAAGCTGCATTTTCGTATTACGATCCGCAGCCAGCAGAGTCTCCTTCAGAGTTATTTATATATCTTCTTGTCTAATTTGTATTCCGGACAGATGTTGTACTTTATTTTATCTTCCTAGTTGATGCTCATTCACTTGTGACACCGGATTTTGGGGGCATTTATGAGTTGTTCAGTAGTGTAGTTGGAAAAAGTATTATCATTTACTCTGTAAATTTTGTTTCTGATTATTTAATTGAAGGAAAATTACGATTTCAAATACTAAAATGAATAATCGAGTTAATAAACTATTGTTGGCTTGCCTGACAGCGGTGTTAGGTGCCATCACGACCATTAATGAATTTTGGGTCGTAACATCGGCCTCGTCATTACCTCCATCATTGTCGTTATCTCTGGCTGCAATCCATGGCCAACCGACCGGATTTCTTAGACTCGAGTGTATTTTCTCATATCTGAGTGTTTTCTCATATTTGAATATTTTATTTCTTGTGCCCGAATTAAATACAACGAAATACACATTATGGCCAAATATTTGTTGGTTTGACAGGATTTTGGTAGATACAATGTGATGGTGTATTCTCAGATCTGACCGGATTTTTGTTCATCTCCATTTTTAATTTTAATACAATGTATTTTGTGTTTTGCTTGGCCGGAAGATGTCATCTCCAACGAACTTTCTTCTCTTTTTTGTTATTGAGTCGCATACAATGATACAAATACACTCAAATTTGAGTGTATTCTATATTTTCAATGCAAATACTTTTTTTTTATTTTGCCTGTATTTATGTATTTCGAAGGTTATTTTTTTGGGGCAAATCCCTGTATTTTTGGAATTTTGTTGTTTGAATACAACCAAATTAAATACCCTAAATTGAATACAGTATAAAAGCAGCTATAAGTGAATGCAGTGAATTGAATACAGCCGAATATCACTATTTTTTGTGGTTTTTTGTTTTTGAATACAGTCGAATCGAATACAGTGAAATTGAATACAATGTAAAGTAGTTAAGAATGAATATAGCCGAATTGAATACAATATATATACCCGAATTAAATAGAACGGTATACACCATGTTTCTTAATTTTTTATTGTTTGAATACAACTGAATTCAATACAATAAAATTGATTATAATGCAAAATATATAAGAACGAATACATCTGAATTGAATATAGTGTATACAACCAAATTGAATACAGCGACATACATCCCATGGCAAGCAATTAGTAGCTACGAAATGTAATTAGCTAAATTATAGCTACGCCCAACAATAAGCCTCCAAACAATAGTAATTTCTGAAAGTTCCCCTAAAGTGAAATTATCTATTAATGATGCGAGACCTTTTGGGGAAAGTCGTGTGGCCATGACCCAAAGTGTACGAATAATATCACATCATGTTAAGAGTATCGTCACACTGGTTAAGCCCAACAATTTGAAGTAAAAAATTGCAACTTTATTTGCTTTCTAATCTTTATTTTATAACAGTCTCCAATTAGCTTCAACTAATTAGTTTCAATAGTAAAAAATTATTCAAAGCGCCTCCCAATGAATTCAATAGTAAAAAATTAGTAGATTGGAAGCGCCTCCCAATGAAGCTGGTAGAACAAATAGTCCGATCATTATCGACCACCCAACTACCACTAGCACGCAGCAATCGAAGGATCCAAATTTACAGTCAAAACCTAAGGCACGGTAGAAAAATGCTCGGTCTCAAAACGTCAGGACCTGCACCTCCACCACCTTGCTCTCACTTCTTATCCCCCAATCCTACCACCGCTACTTTTCGCCATTTCAAGCCTTATTCCTCATTTCGTTCTATCAAAATGTCAGCTGAACAAATCGTCGAACACGTTGTGCTCTTCAAAGCCAAGCCTGATGTTGACCCTTCAAAGCTTAGCGCCATGGCCAACAACCTCAACAGCTTAACTTCTCTCAACCAAGTCGTTCACCTCTCCGCTGGTCCGCTCATTCGCGACAGATCTTCCTCTTTCTCCTTCACTCACATCCTTCATTCTCGGTACAAGTCAAAATCTGACTTGGCCGATTACTCTGCGCACCCCGCCCACGTCAGTGTCGTGAAGGAATACGTGTTGCCGGTGGTTGATGACATCATGGCCGTCGATTGGATTCCGACTGATTTCTCCGGCCCGAGTGAGGTCCCGCCTGGTTCGGCGTTGAGAGTGACGTTTCTTAAATTGAAGGAGAATTTAGGGGAAAATGAGAAATCACAAGTTTTGAGTGCTGTTGGAGGAATTAAAGAGAAATTCCCTGGGATTGAACAGTTGACTGTTGGGGAGAATTTTTCTCCGGGTAGGGCGAAAGGTTTTTCGATTGCTTCCATTGCGGTTTTCAAGGGAGTGAATGAATTGGAAGCTTTGGAGTCGCAAACTGAGCTGGCAAATGAGCAGAAAGAGAAGGTTAGGGATTTTCTGGATGGTGTTGTTGTGGTAGATTATGCTGTTCCTCCTACTCAATCAGCTAGCCTTTGAGTAAATATCAGCAAGTGAGGTTATTCTTGCCTCTAACTGAAAGTCAATTTGCCTTTGTGCTTAAAAAGCTTAGTAAATTTACTTTGTTGGGGTGTGACTATGATTTGCGTTTAAACATGGCTAATAAATTCAGTTGTCCTTCGTTGTTGAAATGCATTTCTTTTTGCATCTTGAACTTTTGCAAAGGTGTCCTTTTTATAGCCTCTTTATAATAACATTTTACATGCTTTTCATTCGATCAGGTTTTGAACTTTCCATTACTATTTTGCTTCTGTAGCCATACTTAAAAAGCGACTGTTGTATATACTACAATTCTGATGTTTTAACAGGTTGAAAACTTTGGTCATTTTCCAGGATGGCATAAGCCGGATATGGACTAGATTACCTTGCATTATTCTGGTAATGTTTGATATGGATATTTTGTGTTTTATATAAAGAATTTAGAGTTTGGGTATATAGTTTTTTGAATTGGTAGATTGGGAGGATACCTTGATGGATCTCGTAGCTAACGGTGTATTCCTTTCAACCTTCACTAGTGAGAAGGTAAAACTAGCATACTGTTACCGATAACCCTTGGGTAGAGACCATAGTTATGATTTGACACCGTCCCGAAGGATGTCCACAATTTACTTTGTTTATCCGTCGAGGTAGGTAGTCCTAGCAACTACATTGTTCGCTCGTGGAAACTCCTAAACTTATGTATATGATTGTACATAGTATTTTTACATAGCTTATACTTATTGTTTTCATGGCAGGCTAAGATGAAGCTCCTATATTATCGCATTGTTATTTGAATATAACATACATGATATATTTGTGATATGATCTATGACTGTTTACCTTTACTGAAAATGGGAATCTCTTCCTTGTTTCAGAATAATGTATATTGGCATTTTTCTTGCTTGTCTCCATGAAAAAACGGTTGTGGATAAGCATTATGACCTTAGTGAGCTAGCGAACTCACTTTTTACTTTTGCTGTTTTATGGAGTACATATGCCATCGAGGACCTCCCTATCTAAAGTGAGCGAAGTTGTTAGTACTTGTGAGCCCCGCTTGGGCGAAAAGTCTTTATCTATTCTCTTTTTTTATTTAAACTCTTAAAGTTGCTTCTTTAGTCAGGTTCATGAGTACTTTGGTTATCATAGAACTTGTAACTATGCATTAGAACTATTTGGAGGCTCAACCCCCTAAAAGCTACCCTAGATTGGGTCGCGTCAAGGTAAAGAGTTTCTTGCATGCATCGTAGCTTCATTTACTTTTTGTCAGCTGCTATTTCAACTATTCTTAGGGACAACTAGCAATGAAAGTCTATTTGATGCATGTAAAGGCTGGTAGACTTTGTAAAGCAAGACCAGTTGGGATGGTCGATGAGAGTTAAGGATCGTCAGACTTGGGATTGGCGCCATGGGGATCTTTTGAGCTGCTGCTTCCACATCAAATAGCATCCCATGACTGGTAACTAAAGTCTAGATCACATAATCCTTACTGCATGATAAAGAATATTGATCAGTTTGGGATATGACAGAAATTGTTGGACCAGGAAGAAAGATTGTCCTTCCTGGCCAGCCAAACTGAAACCTAATATCTCCTTGTTCATTGCCAGAGGGGATATACCAATTCTCTCAGCCTTTTCCAGAATATTTTACTCCAAAGAGGTTTTCCGGTAGAAGTACTGCTCGTGGAAATGACACCAGGTAGCCACTTTTATGCATGCTATTTAAAATATATCCACAGTTTACAATGTATTTAAACATTAGCCAATTTACTCAAACTTTTGGATACGGCGTCCTAAAGTTTAAGCCTCAAAGTCCAAACTTCAGGGCATCGTGTTCTAAAATTCAAAAATTGTGTCCAAAAGTTCGAATCTTATGTCTTGAATTTTAAATTAATATTTTAGAAATTCAGGATACTTAGTCCTGAATTTTAAATTAATAGTTCAGAAATTCAGTCCTGAATTTATAATTAGTAGCTCAAAAATTTAGGACACTAAGTGCCCGTTTGGATTAGCTTGTTTTAAGTGCTTTTAAGCCATTTTGTAGTGTTTGGATAAAGTAAAAAAGTGCTTTTAAGCACTTGTTTTTAAGTTAAAATAACAAAAACAAGCCAAAAGCCAAAAGTTAGAATTCCTAACTTATGGCTTAAAAGCTATTTTGGCTTAAAAGTAACTTAAAACGAGCCCATCCAAACAGGCTCTAAGTCCCGAATTTCAAATTCAAGATACTTAGTATTGAAGTTTGGATGAATTGGCTAATCTTTAAATACATTATAAATTGTGGATATATTTTAAACAGCGGACTTAAAAGTGGCTACTGGTGACTTTACCGTTACTGCGCTATATGAGAGTTTTTTTCATCATTGAATGAAATCTTTCTTTCAGTAATAGCAGGCATTGCTGATCTGATATCTGCAAAGTCCAGTAGAACACTAGAATGTCCTTTTTGCAAACATCTGTGATCATTCCTCCATGTGTTTCTTGGGGTGGTCTGCATCTAGATAACTAGACCATCAGTTTTATCTTTAAATGCTTAAATTTGTGTGTCTGTAAGTGTTTTTTTATTCCATATTCTATACAATATGAAATAATAAATCGATACTCGCATAACTTAGTGTATGTATTATTTAAGATTGCCAGTTCATCGCTGCATTAGATAAGAGACGATTATTTTTTCTAATCCCTCCAGCCAGATATCCAGGCATTGTGTTATCTTATGTGGAATGTTGTGGAATTTGATTTTCTTAATCCCTCCCACCAAACAACCCCTTAGTTTGTTGATAGTATGAAAAAAGTACTTCAGGTAATAGTTCAGTTCTCGCAACATTGAGATATGGATTCACTTTGCCCAGCCTAACCCCTAATCTATAATGTGGGACAATTCTCAACGTGCCTGAAGTAAAATCCACCTAGCTGGAGTGCCAAACAATAGAGTAATACTAGCAAACTGATTCGATTTTAGAAGTTTTATGTCATGAAATTTAACTCTAATTGAATTGCAAGTTCTATTTTAGTTTAGAACAGGAAAACTCTATATTAGGCCCAAAATTTGGTACTGGTTACTAAGTAATATTGGTGTAAAAATAGCACGGGCTAGCCAGTTTTCGGACTGTTAATTAAAAAATAGTCAGCGTTTGCAAAGTCATTGAAAAATCGCCATTATTTTGCTGCAACATGAAAAGTTTCAGCATAATATACTGGAGATTAGTGCACATGTGTATGAACTTCAGCACACGGAATGTATCAGCATAATATACTGGATATTGGAGCTTCTGTGTATGAACTTCCAGCATATTATGCTGGACCAGTATATTATGCTGGAAGTTCACATGTAAAAAATTTGAAATCTAGTATATTATGCTGGAATATTTTCCGTATTTTGAACAGTGTTTTCGTTCAGATTCATTTGTACATGAAAAGTGGCTAAATTTTGATTACTTTTGAAACTGTTGCTACTTTTCAATTACCACTTATAATCTGGCTATTTTTTAATTTCACCCTGAGGCTAGGTTTCAATACTTACAATATTTTACGGATTATGTCATTTTTCCTTAGCTTATTATTCCCTGACAAGAAAAAATTACCATAAACGAATTAGAAAACATGAAACTTACTACTCCTAATCATTCTGGGAAAGAGTTCTACCTAAGTATGGTAATTTGTAAATAAGTATACCTAATAATTCGTGGAAATTGTATTAAACCATAGACAGCTTTTTGCGCCTCATATTCCTATTCTACTTAGGAATAGCTTTACGTCCAAGTTTCATTCAACCTTTGTTACTATATATAGTCTTTAGACGTTGTCCATCACCATTAATACTTGTGCTTTCTCCTCTCTTGTCCCCGATAATGGCTTCGACTTCTTCTTCTTCTTCTAAACTTCCTTCAGAAATAATTTTCGAGATATTAACTCGAACTTCGTTAAAAACATTAGATACATGCAAGGCCGTCAACAAGCAGTGGCACAATTTGATTTCTGAATCAAGTTTCATGCCACAGTTTTGCGAGAATAGTCATAATATTTCAGGGTATTTTGTTCAGTCTGTCCAGAAGCAAGCACGTGACCGAGTTCGTATCGATGAATGGGTGTTCGGGGAAAACTCCATTGTATCTTCCAATTGAAGCTATAAAACCACAAGATAAAATTTTCAACTACGACTGTGACATGAAGATTGAAGCCTCTTCAAAACAAGGAATATTATGTTGTCTTAGAAGAATAAAGCACAAGTATAGGTACTATGTGTGTAAACCTAGTACCAAACAATGGATGAAACTTCCTAATCCTAAGATGCGTTATTCTACTGTCAAAGTAGCTCTCATTGTGCTGAAATCAAACCCATTACACTTCCAGATAATTAGGTTATCGTCGCCTCGTACTGTTTATCATCATTATATCCATCTGGGACTCGATTACTATCGCATTGAAGTTTTTGATTCAGAAGCTTGGCAATGGAGGAAAGGAAAAGATATATTGTTCCCTCAAGAAAATTATGTTGAAATGTTCACTCCAGCAATTAATGCAAGTGGTTTGGTTTATTTTAAGTTAAGAAAAGATGATCTAGTGATGGCTTTAAACTATAATGGAGAAGAAGCTTTTCCAAGATTTTCACTTCCAAAACCTACAATGGAGTATAAAGATTATGGATATAACCAACTTGTGGAGTATAGTGGGAAGTTAGGGTTTACTTGTTTGGCTCCAAAAGGGATAGAGCTTTGGGTTTTTGAGAATGGAAACCAAAGTTGGGAGTTAAAAAAGGAAGTTGAAATTGAAAGTTTAAACAAAGTGACAAAATTGTTGGGAATAAAAATAACAATAACCCCGCCCAAGAATAATACCCACGGCAAATAATAATAATACAAGAGAGTAACAACGACACCAAGTATTTTAACGGGATAAAATACAATACCCCAGCGGAGCAATATTACTACTATAATATTATAACTTAGTAGTGTCAAGAGACTACTACAACTTCGAAAGAAATAACACTCTTTATTTTAAACACCTCACTACAATATTACTCTCACTCATTATTTATCTCACATACTACAATCTGTGGATTACTCTCTCTACGCTCTATTGCGCTTTCTCTGCTTTTTGGTGTGCTTTCAATGAGGAACGAATAGTTCCTTTTATAGGCAAATTTGCCGTCCAAGTGAACCAATCAGATTTGGTTCTTGCAAGTTGCAAGATTGGTAACAACTAAAAACCAAAACCAATTTGTTATGGTTTTGTGTTTCTGCAGCGCCTACCATGGCCTTCTTTTCCTCCAATCCTATTTTCTCTTTTTTTTTTCTTTTTCTTTTATTCAATATGGACCCCACAAATTTCTCCCTTAATTTTGATTTTTCTTTTTCATTCCAAGTCTTGATCTCAGTCTCTGGAAGTCATCAAACTTGAGAGGCTTTGTAAAGATATCCGTAGCTTGATCATGAGACTTTACATATTTCAGCTTGACTTCCTTCTTGGCAATGCATTCTCTGATAAAGTGATACCTTGTATCAATATGCTTGCTTCAATCATGATACACTGGATTCTTCGCGAGTGCCTGTGCGGATTTGTTGTCAATACAAATCTCTGTAGCTTCAATTTGTGGTAAATTGAGCTCCTTCAACAATCTTCTCAGCTAAATAGCATGACATGTACATGATGTTGCTGCTATATATTCAGCTTCACAAGTCGAGAGAGTAACAATTGGTTATTTCTTTGAACTCCAAGAAATAACAGAATGACCCAAGAAAAATACAAAACCAGTTGTACTTTTTCTATCATCAATATCTCCCGCATAATCACTATCACAAAATCCCATAAGGTTGAAATCACTAGAAGAGGAATAAAATAATCCAAAGTCAGTCGTACCTTTTAGGTACCGAAGAATTCTTCTAGTGACTTTCAAATGAGTGGAGGTAGGAGCTTCCATGCTTACTACTCCAACTGCAAATAGTATATATGGCCTGGTACAAGTCAAGTACCTCAAACTTCCCACAAGACTTTTGACAAATGTGGGATCCACCTTTTCTCCTTCATCAAACTTGGACAATTTTGTCCCACTCTCCATCGGGGTGTTCACGGGGTTGCAATCGAGCATGTTGAACTTTTTCAATATCTCTTTTGTATAGCTTTCTTGAGAGATAAAAATTCCATCCTCCATCTGCTTCACTTCTAGGCCCAGGTAGTATGACATGAGCCCTACGTCTGTCATCTCAAACTCACGGGACATATCTTTCTTAAAAGCTTCAAACAAACTTGGGTTATTGCCCGTGAAAATAAGATCATCAACATAAAGACAAACAAGCAAGATATCTCCATTAGTATGAACTTTAAGGTAAAGAGCATATTCATGGAGACAACGAGTAAACCCATTGTCTTGAAAATACTTGTCGATGCAACTATTCCATGCTCGTGGGGCTTGCTTTAATCCATATAAATCTTTCTTCAACCGCAACACTTTATCTTCATGGTTTTTAACCACGAAGCCCAATGGTTGTTCAACATAGACTTCTTCTTCAAGATAGCCATTCAAGAAGGCTGACTTGACATCTAGTTGATGGATCTTCCACTTCATTTGCGCCGCCAAAGAGATCAGCAAACGAATCGTCTCCATGCGGGCAACAGGTGCATAGACTTCTTCATAGTCAATGCCTTGCCTTTGCTTGTAGCCTTTAGCCACAAGTCGTGCCTTGTATTTCTCCACATCTCCATCAGCATTCTTCTTTATTTTGTATACCCATTTCACTCCAATTGCTCGATGACCCTTGGGAAGAGTTGTTAACTCCCAAGTGTTGTTCTTCTCTATTGACTCAATCTCCTTTTCCATGGCTTGTCTCCACTTTTTGTTTCTAACAGCTTCATCAAAGTTCATTGGTTCACTGTCAGCAAAAAGACAACATAAAAAATCAAAATTAGTAACTTCTTCTGTGTCCTCATAGAGCTCTTGAATGCTCCTTGTCCTTTGCGGTTGTTCATTTGAACTTTCTTGAGAAGAGGGGGATGCAACATTGGTTGGAGAAGGAGGTGGAGTTGTATCCTGCACAGGTTCCACGGTCTCTGGTTCTTCTTCATCACCAAAGTATGGAAGAAAATCATATGAAGTTTCTTCCTGAGCTTCCCAATCCCATGCCAATTCTTCATCAAATTCAACATCGCGACTTACCACCACCTTACCACTGCTTGGTTTATATAACTTGTATCCTTTTGAACTCGTATCATAGCCAACAAACACATGCTTGACACTTCGATCGTCAAGCTTCGCTCTCCCTTGCTGTGGCACATGAGCATATGCTATGCTCCCAAAGATTCTCAAATGTTTGACACTTGGCTTTCTTCCACTCCATGCTTCTTGAGGCGTTTGATCTCTAACATTTCTTGTTGGAGACCTGTTGTTCAAATAAACTGCACAAGAAACAGCTTCGGCCCAAAATTCCTTGGGCATACTTTTAGCTTTCAACATACATCGAGCCATATTAAGAATTGTTCGATTCTTTCTCTCTGCAACTCCATTTTGTTGGGGTGAATAAGGTACCGTTAGAGGGCGACAAATTCCATGAGACTGACAAAAGTCATTAAATTCGTTTGAAGTGAATTCGCCTCCTCTATCGGACCGTAGAGCTTTAATTTCATAGCCACTTTCTTTCTCAACAAGTACTTTGAAATTTTTAAAAGCGGCAAAAGCTTCAGATTTTTGGTTCAAGAAATAAACCCAAGTCTTTCTACTAAAGTCATCAATGAAAAGCAGAAAGTATCTACTTTTACCAAAAGAAGATGGATTGATTGGTCCACACACATCAGTGTGAACAAGCTGGAGCGGCTTGGTTGATCTTGACATAGCCTCCTTTGGAAAACTCCTCCTTGCATGTTTTCTAAGAAGACAAGCTTCACACAGTTGATTTGGATGGTTGATTGATGGCATCCCATGTACCATGTTCTTTTCTCCCATTGATTTGAGCGCTTCAAAATTCAAGCGTCCAAATCGCATGTGCCAGCGCCATGATTCATCTTGCACATTAGCCTTCAAACACTTTGCATCAATTGTTTTAAGATTCAGAGAAAATAATCTATTCTTTGCCATATGCACTTTAGCAATTAGAATTTCACTTGAATCTCTAAGCCAAAGATGCATATTTTTCATGTGGATGTCATATTCCTTTCCAAGAAGTTGGCCCAAACTCAAAATATTACTTTTTAATTTTGGGACATAATAAACATCTTGAATTAGCTTGTGACTACCATCTTTACAGGAGATCAGAATCGTACCTATCCCTTCGATTTGAATCTTTGAGGTATCTCCAAAGGACACATTACCTCTCACCGTTTTATTGATCTCCAAAAACTTTTCTTTGCATCCACACATATGATTGCTTGCTCCATTGTCCAAATACCACGAGCTGCAATCATCCTTGTATTCTTCCTTGAGTGCCAGCAATAATGTTGACTCATCTTCTTCTTTCTTGTCGTCAACAAGGTTAGCTTTCTCTTCAACATTGCTACGACATTCCCAAGAGTAATGACCAAATTTATGACAATTATAACACTCAATTTTTGATTTGTCATACCTTTGTCCATTATTTTCTTGGTAGTAGCCATGTCCTCTTCCTCCTCTTTGTCCACGAGCACGACCTCTGAATGCTTGGTGGATTTTAACTTCATTGTTGAAGTTGTTACCATTACTTCTTCCTCGTCCATTACCGCCACGGCCTCGTCCTCGGCCATTCCTTCAATAGCTTCTTTCACCTCCATAATCCTTGAAGGATGCATGAGTTTTAAGAAGTTGCTCCAATGACACTTCTTGTCTCTTCTTGATCTTTTCTTCATGGGCTTGTAAAGAACCCTCCAATTGCTCCACCATCATTGAGTCTAAATCTTTAGACTCTTCAATAACACACACCACAAAATCGAATTTAGGTGTTAAAGTGCGAAGGATCTTTTCTACCACACGAACATCTTTTATGTCCTCCCCGTATCTTCTTAATTGATTCACAACAGCCTTCACTTTTGAACAATAATCCGAAATGCATTCGGATTCTTTCATTTTTGAAACTTCAAAATTAGCCCTTAGAGTTTGAAGTTTTACCTTCCTTACCTTGTCAACTCCTTGAAGAGAATTTTGTAAAATCTCCCAAGCTTCCTTTAAGGCGGTAGCATCTGCCACCTTCTCAAACATGGCATCATCCAAACATTGGTGGATGAGCGTGAGGGCTTGTTGATCCTTCTTCCTTGTCTTTGCCAAGACATCTTTTTCATTTTGAGGCAGAGCTTCCTCATTATCGGGTTTTGCATACCCTCTATCTACGATTTCCCACACATCCTGGGAGCCTAGAATGACTTTCATACGTAGACACCATTTCTCATAATTATCTTTTGTGAGACGGGGATACTGAAAAGACAGCGGACCATTACTCGTCATGACTCTGATACCACGTTGTTGGGAATAAAAATAATAATAATCCCGCCCAGGAATAATACCCACGGCAAATAATAATAATACAAGAAAGTAACAACGACGCCAAATATTTTAACGGGATAAAATACAATACCCTAGCGGGACAATATTACTACTATAATATTATAACTTAGTAGTGTCAAGAGACTACTATAACTTCGAAAGAAATAATACTCTTTATTTTAAACAGCTCACTATAATATTACTCTCACTCACTATTTATCTCACATACTACAATCTGTGGATTACTCTCTCTGCGCTCTATTGCGCTTTCTCTGATTTTTGGTGTGCTTTCAATGAGGAACGAATAGTTCCTTTTATAGGCAAATTTGCCGTTCAAGTGAACCAATCAGATTTGGTTCTTGCAAGTTGCAAGATTGGTAACAACTAAAAACCAAAACCAATTTGTTATAGTTTTGTGTTTCTGCAGCGCCTACCATGGCCTTCTTTTCCTACAATCCTATTTTCTCTTTTTTTTTTCTATTTCTTTTATTCAATATGGACCCCACAAAAATTTCCAAGGCTAGTTGGGTTTTATAATGCAGACATTGCTTTAGTGATGAATTCTTATGAAGTTATTTTCTACAAGTTGCAGGATAAGAGTTTTAATAAAGTGAAATTGGATAAATGTCGTAATAATATTCAAGAAATTTTCCCTTTCCGATCAGATTTGGAGCCACTTGACTTAAGGATGCAAGACGCCAACAGCACTGTTTCAGCTACAAAATATTTATATCCCTTTTCGATTTCTTTTCTACTTATTTTTTTCATTTTTCTTTTTTGGTATTTTGTTTGATTTTCTCATGCATAAGACAGTTTATATGATTTATTGTGAGCATGAATGTTTAACGCGAAAAGATTGCAAGTGAACTGTTAGAATTCGTCAGATTGCTCTAAATTTAAAATATTCTGTACAAAATATAAAAGTTTCTATACTATTCCATTAAGGAATAAATAAAATAAAAGTCTCATCCTTTATATTTTGACCTGCTAACAGGGCAGCCCGACGAATTTTGTGGCCTAAAGCCAAACCTTACGAGGGGCCTTAACTTTTTAATTATTTATTTGAAGTCTATTTTATTAGCTTTTCTTAGATACAAAATTATTAATAATTTTCTTATAATCAATAAATCCTAATAAGTATTTCTCAATTGACAATATAGCTAATCCATTTAACCTTTCTTGTGATATTGTTGTTCTTAGATAAGTTTTATCAATTTTAATTTTGAAAACTTATTTCCGCTGAAGCAACAGTAACATGAGTTATGAACACTATTCCATAAGCAATTTAGGCATTTGGAAAAGAATTAAATCTTTTTATTTGATTAAGTGTATCAATTAAACTGTTATCTTCTAATTGTACTATTTTCTTAATACTTTTTATTCAGAAAATAAATCTAGACCATCAATATCGAATTGATTATTATGCTTTAACGAACATTCAAGATTAAGACAATATATTTTTCAAATTTCCAACATTTAGTGATCTTAGTTTTTACTGCCAAATAGAAAACCAAAAATATTTTCATATGTTTCGAATTGTTCAAATCTATTGTGAAATGAAAAAATAGCTTTGGCTATTATGTATAAAAGTAATCAACTCTAAAGGACCGAAAGATTTTGAGATTTCATTATCAACATTCGCATCAAATTGTTACTTGTTATATATCACACGTTTCTTACGAAATTCGGGTTCGATATTCATTTCAAGTGTAATTTTCTTGGTAGAAATCACAGCAGCTGCAAATCCTTCTTCTCTATATTTGTTTAAGAAAGAAATCAAAGTTTTTCACTTTACATAACTTTTTTTTAAACTTATACATAGTCTATTAAGTGTAATATAAAAATGGGGCCCCCACAAATATGGGGCCTAATGCGGTTGCTTTACTTGTTTTATGGAAGGGCCGCCCCTGCCTGCTAAGTTTTAAAGAGATAGACTCGCGCCAGAATTTTAAAGCACGCTGTCATGAACTTGTATTTTAAAGCACACTGCCAGAATTCTTATCACACTACAAATTCTGGCAGCATGCTTAAAAATTCCAGCAACAAGCTTTAAAATAGTGCATATCTGGTTCGATTTTATCAGTTTTTCAGCATGCATGATATCGAACTTCATACGAATTATAAGCTCTCTTTTCTTTTAGGAGAGAGAGAAAGAAAAAGAAAACTGCTACACATATTTATGAATTAAATGTGCACTTAATTTTTATATTAAATCGATAAATGCGAGACATGTATATAGTATAGGGGTGTACATAAGTCGGATTGATTTAAAAATTTTAATTACCAAACCAAATCAATGGTGACGGGGTTTTAAATATCTAAACCAAACCAAACCACACCAATAAAGTCAGGTTTTTCAATATCGATTTTTCTCGGGTTTTTCGATTTTTTCGAGTTTTCGGGTTTTCGAGTTTTTTTCCGATAAACTCTTCATAGCACAAAATATGTAACTTGTGCTCCAAATATTTCTTTAGTCCTACTAAGATACAACTATATAATATATTTTTCAAGAAAATAATACAATATTATGAGATAAGTTTCATAGCATTATACTATAATATTCAATAACAAAGATAATAAAATTGCATAAAGCTAATATTGCTAATTAATAAGTCATACTGAAAATTAGCATAATCTAAAAATATTATATAGGTCATGCTAAAATAAGAATAGCTAATAAGTCTATTAATTACATAACTAAGCACTAAAGAAAAAGATAAATTAAGTTATGCATTTTCATTGTAAACCAATTTAAAACTTAAAAAAAAAGATATCCAACTCTATTGCCATTCCTAGTGTTGAATTGAATTTCTTTTATTAGCATTAATATTGATTTGAACTTTATTTGAGTTACTACATTTATAGTCTATAAAATTTATTTATCATTCAAGAATGTTAAGTCCAAACTTGAAATAATACGTTAAAAGATAAAACTGTGAAAAAGTTAAGAATTATTTATAAATTACATACAATAAATATTTATATGTATAAAATATTTTAAGAATTGTATAAATGTACTATCAGGTTGGTTTGGTTTCGATTTGACCTTTTTTAGTTAAAACCAAATCAAACCAATTATGGTCGGATTCTTTTTTTCCGATATGCCTCGAATTATCAGTTTGGTGCGGTTTATCGGTTTTCTTTGTACACCCCTGATCTTGTATATACACAGACTTAAACATAATTAAATGATATATATTCTTACTTCAAATTTTAACTGCCAAGATTAAATTGCTTGGTTTGGTAAAAATACTTTACCATGTTCGGTATATAACAATCTACTTTACTATTTCTTCTACTCCCTTTTAGTTTTCTTTTTAGCTAAACAAATTTGATCCGAGAAAGAATTTTTGTTTTAGGAAACCAAGTTTGGAAGCAATGATTAGTGACCAATGATCATAAATGAAATTAACCGGCTATTTCTACTAATTTTTTACCTGCGTTAGGTTACCACTATACAGCAATAGATCTTCGTCAAAATAGCATGGTTTCATATATTAATCCATAATTTTAAATCAAAACTTCTCTTTGCCATTGAGCTTAGTGAGCGTTTGGACATAAGAATTGTAAAATTTTAAATTAGGGGGTAAAAAATTTTCAAGCGGAAATGGTATTTGAAATTTTAGAGTTGTGTTTGGAAATGAATATAATTTTGGGTTGTTTTTAAGTTTTGCGAGTGATTTGAATGAAAATTTTGAAAAATAGCTTTTTGGAGTTTTTCAAATTTTCGAAAATTTCCAAATGCATCTTCAAGTGAAAATTAAAAATTTTATAAACAATCGTTGATTTCGGAAAAAAGTAAAAATATTTTGAAAAAAAGGAAAAAATTTCTTATGTCCAAACGGGCGGGCTCTTAGACTCCACATTTTTCTCATACGACTCCAACACAATGTATCTATATCTTGCTCTCCACGATAGCAACTATTCACTATTAGTTATCCCGAAAAAGGAGTAAACAAAAATATAACAATCTTTGTGGTGGTTTATCTTGAGACTATAGTAGTTTGAAATTATGCACCAACAATTATATTTTTTAATACTAATCTAATATTTGTCAGGTAAATCGTACGACGACAAGTGATATCAAGGCTCAATTATCATATTGGTTTCAAATCTCCAATCAAAGATTTATGCTTTATTTTATTACACCTTTGTAGAAAACTTGAATGGGGCTTGGTGTAACTGGTGTTGCCATGTGACCAGGGAGGTCACGGGATTTGAGACGTAAAAATAACCTCTTGCAGAAATGTAGGATAAGACTGCGTACGATAGATCCTTGTGACCCCATCCTTTTCCGGACCCGCGCATAGCAGGAGCTTAATGCACCGAGCTACCCTTTACCTTCGTAGAAAACTTGTTTGGTCCAAATCTTTATTAATAAAAAAATTGGCTCTTTATCTAAACAAGGAACATATATAATTGCTACCTTATACTCCAAGATAATCAAGTTTATATCCTTAGTCAACATTTTAACTTTTCCAACAAGTACATTTGACTAAATTTTGAAGCCAAATATTGGGAATGGATATATAAGTATGACTAACCTCATATAGTAGTTATCTCAGAGTTTAAGCATTGCAATTGAATTGAATCATAAAACTTTTTTCATACTGATGGCAAATCTCGTATTCCTTTCTCTATTTATGTTTCCTTTGCTTATATTTAGCTATTTTCTTCTGAAATTTTCCTACTCCATCTTGTTAAAACCAAAGTTGCTGGAGAAGCGCTTGAAACAGCAAGGATTCAAAGGCACTCATTACAAGTTGTTACTTGGAGACCTCAAAGATGTTGGTAAGCAAATGGATGAAGCTTGGTCCAAGCCTATTAGCTTAACCCATGATATCGTGCCACGTGTTGATCCATTCACGCATTACATGGTCGAAAAATATGGTAAGTCAATTTCTGATTACTGTTATCTAGTCGAGTTTCATCTTTTCCTATCGGAAACACCTTTTCTGCCCGTTCGGGGTAGAGGTAAGGTTGCGTACATTCTACCCTCCCCATACTCCACTTGTGAGATTACACTGGATCGTTGTTGTTGTTGTTGTTTCATCTTTTCCTATTATATAAGCTATAAGTCACGAATATTTTTCTTAATTCGTACAAAACTCAAGACATTTATTCCCTCCAAGTAGATGCAACAGAAGCGAAGCTAGGATTTGAAATTTATGGGTTCTAACTGGCCATCAAATAGCTCCGCCCCTGGATGCAACACAAATTTTATCACTACTCTTTTATTAATTTTGTTCACAAAATTTATGAGCTAAAATGAAAATGGTTGCAGGGAAGATATCTCTGAGTTGGCTAGGGACATCACCAAGATTGATCATCATGGATCCAACACTGATAAAAGAAATTCTCTTAAACAAACAAGGCCACTTCCATTTACCACCATTGAACCCTCTTATATTGATTCTAACTAAAGGATTGACAACTCTACATGGTGAAAAATGGGATATGCACAGAAAGATAATCAACCCTGCTTTCCACTTGGAAAAATTGAAGGTTAGTTTCTCAACTTCAAGAATGCTCATTTTTGTTAGATTCTGAACCAGTAATTTCAAACGTATGTTGCGTTCAGTGTTAGAAGGAGAGTCTTGGCGTAACTGGTAAAGTTGTTGCCATGTGACCAGCCGTAGAAACAGCCTCTTGCAGAAATGCAGGGTAAGGCTGCGTACAATAGACCCTTGTGGTCCGGCTCTTCCCCAGACCACGCACATAGCGGGAGCTTAGTGCACCGGACTGCCCTTTTTATTGAGTTCTGTGTTAAGAACTTTAAAAGTTGAGCGTTAAAATCTTTGATCAGCCTCTGATCAAAGGGGACATCTAATTCATTTTAATTTCCATTTACAGGGCATGATCCCAACAATTGCAGAAAGCTGTGCATTCATGATAGAGAAATGGATGAACTCAATTAGCCATGAGGGAACTTCAGAAATAGATATTTGGCCTGCATTTCAAGATCTTACTGGTGATATCATTTCAAGAACAGCATTTGGTAGTAGCTACAAAGATGGAAAGAACATCCTAGAACTTCAAAAAGAACTGCAACAACTTGTCATAGAAGCCATGGGAATGTTATACTATATTCCTGGTTTTAGGTAATAGAACATGTTCTCTTAATAACAACTACTACTTTCTTAAGAAATTTTCTCAAAGTTCTGAAAAATTATCATACACAGATTTGTTCCAACAAAGAAGAATCGCAGACGAAAGGAACTAGACAGAAGGATCACTTCAATGCTTAAAAGAATCGTCGACACAAAGGATAACATGATCAGCACTGGACAAACCAGGGGAGATGACTTACTTGGTTTGCTCTTGCAAACTAACAAAGAGAACAATTCACTAAATAATAGCCATATGACAATGGAGGACATAATAGAAGAATGCAAACAATTTTACCTTGCTGGTCATGAAACAACATCAAGCTTATTGACATGGACGCTAATTGTATTGGCTATACACCAGGATTGGCAAGAAAAGGCAAGGCAAGAAGTTTTACATGTATGTAAGGAGAAGAATCCTGATGCGGAAGCAATAAGCCACCTCAAAATTGTGAGTATTCATCTTTACTTTAGAACAAATTCAATTTGCTAAAACGACTAATACGCCACTTCATAATTGTGTCTTTTACAGGTAACAATTATACTCAATGAAGTTCTCAGGCTATATCCACCAGTGATTGCTCTATATAAACGCGCTTACAAGGAATGTAGAATAGGAGATCTCTCAATTCCAGAAGGGATGGATCTGACACTACCTATAATGCTAATTAACCGCGATACTGAGCTATGGGGTGAAGATGCAGAAGAATTTAAACCAGAGAGGTTCGCGGAAGGAATTTCAAACGCTTGCAAAGATCAAACGCAGATGGCATTCATGCCATTTGGATGGGGGCCAAGGACTTGCATTGGCCAAAATTTTGTAATGATAGAAGCAAAGGTTGCTCTCTCCATGATACTAAAGCAATTCACCTTCAAGCTCTCACCAACTTATGCTCATGCTCCTTATACTGTTATGACGCTTCAACCCCAACATGGAGCTCAGATCATGTTTCACCGGCTTAATTAGTATACATCCAGTTATTATGTGTTGAAGTTTCTCATAAAATAAGATAAAATCATGTCTCATATTTTCCCTTCCGTGTAGATGAGCTTATGAATTGAGTGTGTCAAAATAAAGGTAGTCCTTGATATCAAATAAAAAGAGTGGTTAAGCATGATAGCATACAAGATAATTTGTCCCCTTCGTTATTACTTATTTCTTTATCTCAAAGACCAGAAGCTGCAAAACATTGGTTTTTTCATTCTTTTCTTATGAGGTCCCCGGTGTGTTATCTAAGTCTTTTAACTAGTCCAATGGAAATCTCCTCTATTGCAGCAAAAGTCAAAAAAAGGGTACCCGCGCTGCAGCTTGCTTGCCTAAAATGATATAAAAGAAGAGTTCGTCCTTCTTCAAAAGAGATAAAGTCATGTGATACGAAGAGGCAATGGAACAGTAAAAAGAGAAGAAAAGGCTGCTAAAGAAAAGGCAATGAAACAGTAAAAGGAAAGAAGAAAACTAGGGCAAAACAAAAGAAAATGTTCTTTGATTGATTTTCAGATAAGAGCAGAAATTACAATATATAGAATGAGAGAGGAAAGATTCCCTAGCTGGCACTCGAGTGTACTCTGCCATTTCCTAACCACATTACCGGGACCTCTCGTATAAAAGACAAACAAAATTGTAGGGCTAATGTGTAATTACCGGAAACTATAACTTAAAATATAAGTGGACTAAATTGAACATCTTCCAAAGTTATTCTCAGCCTTCACACCAACTAACTTAACAACCTCGCATCACTTAACAAGCATAAGGTACCACTGTCAGAAGCTATGTGTATCATCACGCGGCCTGATAGTAGGCTATAACTATGTATTTTGGCCACTATTTGCACTTTAAATTGGTTGCACTTTACTAATGTTTGAGCATTAAATGGTAGCAAATTGCTCTGATTGAGTATTTTATGCTTTGCAGGAGCAATTCCGGACTACAATAAGGTTAAAGAGCATTTTGAGCTAATATGAAGCGTTGAAGGCCAAGTAAAAGCTTATAGAGTAAATTGGGAGTTCGTTAGAGGATCGAAAGAGGTTAGCGCATTTAAAAAGAAGAACAAAGAAGAGTGCAGAAAATGGTCGCGCACTGACCGTGAAGTCAGGCAAAAATCTCACAGAGTGCGCGGCCAGATGCGCGGTCACTCTCCCAGGTGCACTGCCATGCACGTCTCTCCGAGGAAAATTATTTCAGGGCTAAGCTTGTAATTCCAGAGGCGACTTTCCTTGACCTATATGAAGCCTAGCTCGCCCAAAAAGAGGGTATCTAGGTTTTTAGAAGAATTTTGAAGGCAACAACAGGTAAGAAGCAAGACGGAAGATTCGGCAACGAGTTTTTATCTTTCTTACTCTAGTTTTTATCATTGATGATGAATTCTATTGTTGTGATTGTGAAAACAATTATGCATAGCTAAACTCCTAATCTAGGATTTTGATAGAACCTATTGGAGGATGATTTTCTTATTACGTTAATATAGATTTCCGTAGTATTCTCTTTATTTGTTCAACTATATTATTATTGTTGTTGATTGAAGGGCCCTCAATTGACTGTGCCTATTTAGTATGTATTACTCGGGAGAGAGTGCATATTTAGGTAGTTGTTGAACAACATCACTCTTAACGTATATGAGGGATCAATATGAAGGGTTTAAAGGTGGGATTAGGGATAACGAAACCTTGGTGCGATCTCTGTGAGCTGTACTTAAGGCCAGCTAGCGTAATTCGGGAGAATATGTCTCGTATATTGTTGTAATTACGCGGGAGAGAGTTACGACAGTCAGAGTGCTCATGATCGGTAGAGAAGACTTAGGCAAAGTTATAGAAAACGTAGCGGAAAGGATTCCGATAATAGGGGAAATAATAATCCTAGATCATTCCAATTCTTGTCTACAAACCGTTCATAGTTAATTATTATTTACTGCATTTTTCATTATGTAATATTTAGTTAGTAAACATCCAATTTATTACTTAAATATTTCTGAAGATTGATTACGTGAATTTGAGTGAGTCCAATAGCTATATTTAATAGGTTAATTCCCTGTGGGATTCGACTCCGGACTTGTTAACCGGACCGCTTAATCCTTTTTAAAGGGCATAGTTGGGCGTGATCGCGATCCCTCAAGATAGAGGCTTCAATCATCCTTAGAATCTCGAGGCGAGCCAAATTACATAAAGAAGCTTCAGTTTTATGTTGATTTACTGTGGATGAATATGGAGAAGCTAGATCTCTAGCCAAATAGTGATGGTAATCCTTCAACAAGAAAGGCAGCAAAAACCTCACTTTTTCTAGCTCATAGGAATACATATTTTATTCAACAAATTCACACAAAAAGTATAATTGATACTCCCTCCGGTCCAAAATAAGTGATTTTTTGGCATTTTTTTTGTGGTCCAAAATAAGTGATATTTTCAGATTTCAAGAATGAATTAATTATTTTTTTCCTATATTGTCCTTGGAGTAAATAGTGTTGGAATATGTGTTAGGAGTGTTTATGTGAGATAGTAAAGGTTAATATGGTCAATTCCATTACTAATTAATGCTAAAAGGTGGATTTCTTAATCTGTGTGAAAAATCTAAAAAAATCACTTATTTTGGACCGGAGGGAGTAATTTCTAGTTTCTAGCTCTATAGTTGAAAAGTAAGAAGTACTGAAGTAATACTAAAACCGCAAAATCAACAATGCAAACTTCACATAAGCTACAACCAACAACAGTGGAAAATGTACTAAAACTTTATACATGTAAACCGACCAAAACAGAATCAATGACAACCAAAAAAACGTTGAAAGAGTGTGTTTTAACGACAAATCAAAGTGATGACGATCGTAAGCTTTAGAAATCGTTCTCATGTTAGCAAACGTTGCTGCCACTGCATTCATCTCGAATTTATAACAATGGGGATATTTATAGCGGTAAATGTTTCTACGTAATGGATGAATTGACGAATGATCTATCGATCAGTGAAGAATAATTTGATTTGTGTTTGTTGAATCTCAAAGTTTTTGAATTCAATTGAGGAGATGAGATGAAAGAGTAGTGTATTCAAAAAGAAAGCCGAGACTGAAATTTGAGGGGCAGTTCTGATATAAGAAATATAAGGATCGCCTTTACAATAGGCGACTTAAGAGGGTATATGAGCCCGCCTTTGCAATAGGCGACTTAAGAGGGTAGTTTGTCAATTAGAAGAAATATGAGGGTCGCCTTTAGGATAAGCGACTCTACATGTAGATGCTGGAGGAATTTGAGAGGGTAGTTTTGTCTTTTAATAGATGAAAATGATCCCTTATGTTTGAGGTTAGGATCAAATAGTCCGTTAAGTATGAACTAATCAACTTTAGTCTTTTAAATTTGCTAAAAGTTAACATTTTTAATTTCTATCAAATACTTACTGCCAAAAAGTATCCTAAGATTATAATATTACCCGATAACCAAACGACCCTAGGATATTTATAGCCTGTTTGGCCAAGCTTCTCCAATCCTAGAAGCATTTTTTTTTTAAAAGTATTTTTTTTCAAGTTGAATTGTTTGACCAAACTTTTGGAAGAAAAAAAGTGCTTTTGAAGAGAAGCATAAACAGTTTTGGAGAAGCAGAAAAAAGTAGCTTTTCCCCAAAAAAAAACTTTCTTGAAAAGTACTTTTGAGAAAAATACACTTAGAAACAGTTTTTAAAAGCTTGACCAAACACTAATTGCTGCTCCGAAGCACTTTTCAAATTAATTAGCCAAACACAAACTGCTTCTCACCAAAAATACTTTTGAGAAAAGCACTTCTAAGAAAAAGCACTTGTCAAAATAAGGCCTCATTTGCTTTTTTAAGATTAAGACGTCTGAATCTGAATACACATCTGAATATCAAGATGTGTATTAAGATTAAGACATCTGAATGAACTTCTGAATATATTAAGATGCGTATTAAGATCGAAATACTAAAAATTAAGACCGTTTGATTTTTAACATCTGAATGCATAAAATTTATCTTTATTTGAAAAAAATCTAATATTCTATCAATAAAATATATAGTTTTTTAAAATATGATAGTTGTTGGTGGTGATGGCTAACGGGTGAATGCCGACTAAAGGCGGTGGTTGGTGTTAGTTTTGGTTGATGATGGTGGTTCATGCTAGTAGCTAGTAGTGATTGGTAGTGGTGGCAATTATGATTGATGATGGTGACGATGGGTGGTGATAGTTAATAATAGCCGGTGGTGGTAGGTTATAATGATAAGCGGTGCCGGCTGTGGTTGTTAATGGTGACGGGGTGGTTGGTTGTGGTAGTTGAGGTGGATACGTGTTGACTGTGAGTGAGAATGATGGTGGTCGGAGTGGTGGGATGTTGGATGGTGATGTTCGATAATGGTGGCGGGATGATTGAGGATGATGGTGGCGTGGTGGTGGTGGTGGCGGCGGTGGTGGTGGTGGTGGCTGGCCTCATTTGTTTGCACTTAATGGAGGTCTGAATCTTAATCATTCAGATCTCAGACATTAAGTGCGTTTGTTTTTAAAGTCTGAATCTTAATTATTCACATCTTAATCATTAAGTGTGTTTATTTTTTTTACTTTAGAACCACTTAATGGGTCTGAATAGGTATGTATGATTAAGATCTATAATAGAGACTTAATTTCATTAAGATGCTATCACATATTCATTATTAACTGCCGCCACCGCCTATTATTATCAACTACCACCATGCCGCCACCGCCACCACCACCACCATACTCGACCACTACCACCACCTCCACCACCACTACCTCCACCGTCACCACGCCACCATCATCCTCAATCATGGCCGCACCACTATTGACCATCACCACCCACTATCCCCACCACTCCGACCACCATCATTCTTCCCCACAATCAACACTCATCCACCTCAACTACCACAACTGACAACTCCATCACCATCAACAACCACAACCGACACTGCCATCATTATAACCTACCACCACCAACCCACCACCTTCCTCAGTCACAACTATTACCACCACCCGCCATTATTACCTATCATCAACCACCACCGCCATCCTCAATCATAATCTCTACCACTACCAATCACTACTATCATGAACCACCATCATCAACCAAAACTACCACCAACCACCGCTTCTAGTCGGCATTCACCCGTTAGCCATCACCACCAACAAC